TTAGGGTTTAGGTGTTTAGGGGTTTTAGGGTTAAGGGTTCAGGTGTTTTGGGGTTTAACGTTTAGGGCTTAGGGGCTTAGCGGTTTAGGGGTTAGGGGGTTTAACGTTTAGGGTTTAGGGTTTAGGGGTTCAGGGGTTAGGGGTTTAACGTTTAGGGTTTAGGGATTAGGGGTTCAGGGGTCAGGGGCTTAACATTTAGGGTTTAGGGGCTTTAGGGGTTTAGGGGTTTAGGGTTTTTTTGGTTTAGGGGTTTAGGGGTTCAGGAGTTTAGGGGTTTAACGTTTAGGGTATAGGGGTTTCCGGTTTAGGGTTTAGGGGTTTATAAGGGTTTAGGGGTTTAACGTTTAGGGTATGGGGGTTTCGGGCTTCGGGTTTAGGGTTTAGGGGTTTATAAGGGTTTAGGGGTTTAGGGAGTTTGGGGTTTAGGGGTTTGTTTGAGTTGTTTTGCAGGCCCTCTTTCCTCCCAGCAGTAGGTCAGAAGGGTTTAGGGTTTATAAGGGTTTAAAGTTGAGGAGTTTGCAACGGTCGATTCTGACTTTAGAGTGGTTTTGGGTTGGTTTCAAGCTGCATTTGGGCTTGTGCGGTTTAGGATTTTGGGGTTTAGGGATTAGGGTTTGGCTGTAGAGTTTAAGGTTAAGGGTGTAAGGGGTTTGGGATCAAGGGTTCAGGGTGAAACATGCAAAGTTAAATCGCAGCTTCGAGCTGGAGGTCGAATGACTGATCGGGGTGCGGGAGATCTGGGCCTCCAACATCCAAAGTTAAAAGATTTAGGGTGTATAGGATTTTAGGGTTTAGGGTTTAAGGTTTAAGGGTTTAGGACGTTAGGGCTTTAGGGTTTTAGGGTTTAGGGTTTAGGGAATATTACTAAAGAACCCTGCCAAGACAAAGAAGGTGGTTCTGTTATTCAAGGATCTGCAAAGGTGCCTTAACCTATCTGATTGTCCAGCTCTCTTCCAGGAAAGGGCTAATCGATGCCAATAGTCGTGCTAGGGTTCGCAAGCTCAACAAATGTCGAAGGTTGCCTACTTAACCCTATAAACCCTAAACCCTAAACAGCTACTACGCCAGATCTGAGAAGGATGTGTCTCTAGCTGCACAGGATCCCCAGTGGCTTAGGAATAAAAAGGGCTCCCTTTTTTGGTATTGGATAGCTTTATACGGAGTCTAAGACCACAAGAAGGGAAACAGGGCCCAATGGAAGACCTAAACCCTAAAGGTCCACGTGCTCCTCATGATGGGACTTTGGGCCTTTTGTGTGAACAGAAGACCATAAGTAAGGATTTCTTGGACCACTAGAGGAAGGAAGAATAAAACCCTTACACAACCTCTACCCCCCTAAACCCGGAAACCAACCGTTCCGAACCATAAGACCCGAAAGCCTGAAACCCTGCAGCCCACGTACTAAACCTCTATAAACCCTAATTAAAGCCCTATAAACCTAAATCCAAGAACTCAACACCCAAACCCCCCAACCCGTGTAAAATACCCCACCTATTTGAGGATCGGACGACTCGCCGACACCTTCGCGGCCAGCAGTAAGAAGCCATCGGATCAGTGAAACGAGCCGCGATGGCTGAAAGGTTTAAGGATGAGGCTTGGGTTTTAGGGGTTTGGGGGTTTGGGGAGGGTTTAGGGTTTAGGGCCTTAGGATTTAGGGTTCAGGCTTTAGGGATTTGTCTAAGGTTTACGCTTTAGAGTTTAGGGTTTAGGGCTGTTTAGGGTCCTTTAGGGTTTAGGTTTCTTTTTCTAAGCTTCTCTTTTGCCACTGCCTGCCAGAGAGTTTAGGGTTTAGGCTTTAGGGCTTCGGGCCGTTTAGGGTTTAGGTTTGGTTCCTGCCCTGAGTGCGGTTTGACATCAAAGCTACGGGATGGGCCTGATTTGCAAGGCTCCATCAAGCCACTCTAAACCCTGAACCTTAAACCCTAAACCCTAAACCCAAAACCCCTCGTGCAGGTACCCTACGGTCTTTTTTGGTGTTTACTGTGGCTGACAAGATCTTCCGGCATGGCACGCTTAACGCACAAGTCTATAAACCCTAAACCCTAAACCCTAAACCCAAAACCCAAAACCCTAAACCCAAACCTTAAACCCAAAACCCTAAACCCAAAGCCCGAAAACCCTAAACCCGAAACTCTCTTTTTGTAGTGGTTATAACATTTACATTTTGGCTTGCCAAGCTCGCCGAACCCTAGACCCTGAGAGCCCG